AGTCGGAAGTGGCCTTGAAGATCATATATTCTAGCTTCGTCTATTGTACACATGAGGAAATTTCTTTCACACTAAGGAAAATGCGTTCTCATGAAGTGATTGTTGATTCAGTTAAAGAATCTAATTCCTGCTCCTGCCCCTAGAACTAATTCTCCTGTGCTGTGCTGCCACTTTCCTGGAAAGGAAAAGAAAAGAAAATATGCAGCCTTTTGAAAGGGAGATAAGATGTTAGGCATTTTTTGAGTAGCAAACATTTCCTTAATACTCAGAAGAAAGGAAGCCTGGAATCTGGAATCATATAGTTGTTAAAAGTGTGTAATGAACTGCTTATCAGCATACAGTTCATACTGAGACAGAATGTGAAGAAAAGCTTCAACCATAAATTTGTCATTTTTCTAGTATCATGGGCCCCTGAGAGTTCTTCACTTTGGTAGGTATCAGATTCACTTATTCAATTTGAGAAATAAGTAACAGTGTACTTTAAGAGGACAGTTTTCATTCTCCATCTCATCATTTATAGTCCTATGCTATAGTTCTCCACTTATTTTTTCAAAGAGCACTAGAAGAAAAAGAAAGCACTTGTGTTTTTCTCATTTGTGTCTCATGGTGTCTCATGTGTCAGGAACTAATTGTGTGAAAGTAACTGGGTATGCAAAGATGAAAAACACAATGCCCATGCCTTAAAGAAAGGGGAAGGGAGGAATAGCAGAATATGTGCTAAGAGGGAGCAATCCTGTGGGGGGTAAAACAATAGGAAACATGGAAAGAATTAAGAAGACATGGAGAGGATGCTGCGGTAAGAGCCCATGTGCGGCAAGATTTGTGACTCTGCAGACTTGTGTGCCATTCAGGGGAGTGTGGACCTTATCCAGTGACTCACAGAAAGTCTGAAGTAAAGGAGTGTCTTAGAGAACATGAAGTGTTATGATGAAGTATAGTTTAGAGACCAGATGCATTTGCACCCCTTATCAACAGGAGCTGACGAAAAGAGGAAGGAAGGCATTCACTAGCCTTTCCAGGGAGACAAGGACCTAAAAATAATTACTGAAAGGCCCAAGGAAGAATCTCCTGAAGAATTCTTTAATGAAGACACCTGCTAATACTTGAATTTAACCTTGTGAAAAAACTAACCTTTAAGAGAACTATTCATAACTAGGAAGTTCCTCATTATATTAGAGATTCCTACGTCTTCCCTTCATCTCCCTCATCCCAACAGTAGCTGGCTTCATACTGTATTAACTATTTGCAGGCAGCAAACCGAAGATTGAATCATATATACAACCTAATAAAAACTGGAAATTAGGGGTGCCTGGGTGGCTCAGTCAGTTAAGCGTCTCACTTCGGCTCAGGTCATGATCTCACGGTTTGTGGGTTTGAGCCCCGCATCGGGCTCTGTGATGACAGCTAGCTCAGAGCCTGGAGCCTGCTTCAGATTCTGTGTCTCCCTCTCTCTGACCCTCCCCTGCTCACACTGTCTCTCTCTTTCTCTCAGAAATAAATAAAAACATTTAAAAAAAACCTTAAAAAACTGGAAATGAAGTGTACCTAACATAAAGACGAAAATAAGATTTCAATAAATATAAAGCAAACCATGCAAAATGATCAACACATTTGGTAAAAGATGTTTTACCAACAAGAAATACACCTAAGGAGAGCTATTTGGTATCATTTCAAAACCTCTTTTAATGAATACGATGTAACGCTTTGATCAATAATTGCTATGTTCTTTTAGCATTTTGACCTAATTTGGTTTCTTACATAGTATCTAGTTGTTCTTATGAGAAGTTAACTTTAGGGTTGTCTCCAGACTCTTCTGTATATAGGATGAATCTCAAAGGTTTTAATTATCTCAGTTAAATAGGAGTTACTAGTATTTCTAACACTAGCACTTGAATTCTAATTATCTTCCCAAGGTGGGCTTTGGATTTTTTTCAGTTTTGTTCCATTCAGTCCCTCTTCAACCTGTTGTTTTGGGCCATGCTCTGGAAACTGCACCTTTATGAAGCTACATGCTGGGATTTAATATCTACCCAAAAAAGATGAAATGATTTAGGAAGCAGTTACATAATTAAGCTGATTTAGGTATTCAAAATTTAAGGGACATCATTATAAATAAACTAAGTAAATCAAATTCCTTATCATTTCTTTTCTCAAATTCACATAATGGTCATTTTGCTATATGCCCAACAGCTTTTAAATGATAGTATAATGTCTTCTATTATAAATTCTAGGATTACTGAAAAATAAAACCCACAGATTTCTTATTATTATTTCTTTCCTCAAATTCACAGAATGTTCACATTATTACATGCCTAATAGCTTTTAAATGATTACTGGAAGTACCTTACTACTAATGTGTAGGATTACTTAAATCACATCTGCTATTAAAATTTACAGGAAAACTCAGGATGGCTCTTACAATATTCCACTTTGGCTAAGTAGATAAGACACTGAAAAAAAAGAAATCTGCTGGTATATGTTCTTACAAATACGCAGTGAATAAAATAAAACTCCAGTGAATAAAATTACAATGCATATTGTTCTTTGAATAGAGATGGTCAGTGGACTATTTGCAAAATACTCAAATTTCTTAATTTAGTGACCGAGTAGTGAGTATATGAAAAAAAACAATTAATGTAATAGTCTAGGCTGTATTGGAAAAGCACAGCTTTTTGCACAATTAACAAAAATATGACCTACTTGGGAACAAAGCCAAACATCAAAAGGGAAATCCAAATGGCTCTAAGGGGAGGCACAGGGTGGGCTGGGCCACCTCCCCTGAGGCCAAACAACCCTAAATCATACCAAGGAAATGATCCTCTATTTCTTTCTTCTTCATAAGGGAGGATTCTGCCTTTCACTATCTCTGTGAATTCATAAAAGGGATAACTCATGTTATCAGTGTACTGGAGAACTCCATGTCATATGTCGTCTAAGATTTGATGGAGGTTGACTGATGTAGCCTTGTCCTTCCTTCAGGCCTGGGGTAGTACACTTCGGTCTAGTCCAAAATCTCTAACTCAGAATTTGATCCAATTCCACACAGGTATTGGTCCCCTGACTACGGTAGCAAAACTTGTAAGTGGGTCTTAAATTGTATAGATTAAACGTTCAGTGTCTCTTCTTACCGTGCTGTGGTCTGCTGTCTCCAAGACTGAATAATTCTTCCTCTCGGTACTCACTCAGGTTCAAAGTGGCTCTCTCCAGACAGGGAAAGCCTGAATCAAGCTGTGGCTGTCTAGCAACCTTCCTTTCGCTAAGCCACCAGGAATAGGTAAAGAGGAGAATCCTAAAATCTAACCATAATCCTTTCTCAACTCTCATTTCTGAGGCTGAGGGTGAAAAGGAAATAGTATTTTCCAGTTATCTGAAAACAGTGCAAAATGGTTTTTATTCACTCAAAGATGTAGAAGAAACCATGACTTTGCAGATTACAGCATTCTGAAAAACTATCCAAGAGTCATCAATTATGATTTTCTTGTGTACAAAACGATTTTCCTCCCCAAAGGCAAAAACACACAAATATACATTTGGAGGGTTACTTTACTTCTATGCTGACTGAAAGACTGATAATGAAATATATCACTTTTATTAACCTTTTTGTAATGAACAGAAGTTTTAAAGTGGAAGTTAGGTAGACTTGTCACAATAAAATGAAACAATCCACATTTCGAAACTTGTCACAATAAAATGAAACAGTTCATATTTCAAGCTATTACTTTTGCTCTTGCTTTGCAATTACAATATAGACATTTTATCAAATGTCCTTAGACTCGCCAGTTTGACAAATGGCATTTTACTCCCTGTCCTTCTCTAAGACATTTTTACCTTTGCCATTGTTCTAATACAAAAAATGTGTCACACATAAATAACAAAACCACCAGTTCCAAACTAGTTTAAACATATAAGGCTTCATGACAACTTGCCAACCACACCACACGATCATTGATGGTTTTGTTACAGAGTGTTTTGTGGTAACTTTGAAGATCTCGCTGTTCAGCTATCTCCTTTTCACCTTACTCTCTCTATCCATTGCCCAAAACCCAAGGCAATTAATATAGTTATAATCTAATTATCAAGTACTATAAAAAGAAATGACATTTATTTCACTCTGAAAAGTTGATGGAATAAGCACATGAAAGATAAATGTTCCACACTAAACAAGCTTTTCCTCTATTGAAAGTGGGTCAGGTAACAAAAAAGAATAAATAGATAAAATACTGAAATTAAACCAATGGCTTAAGATGAATCAAATGCAGTTGTTCCATTCTACATCCATGAGGACGTTGGCAGCATCTACATTCACTGGAGAATGTCTTAAAGCAGGGCCTTCTGAGAAGACTAGAAACTCCTCATCAAGTCCTCATTGTTCAGTAATGCTTTGTCACACTGCAGAAAGAACCTGGGGCTTGAAAATGCCTCTTTGCATACTTCCCTGAACATTTCAGCAGTTCTGGAATTCCTAATAAACACTGTCAGTTTAAAGCAGTAATTTTTGCCATCAGGTAACAGTAATAAATGAAACTAAGAAAAATATACACCGGGTTTGGAAGTTTCCATGTGAAAAATAACAATTCCTTAGATTAATGCCGTATGCTCTCTTTTGGGAGTGTTCTCGGTTGGTCTGACTCCTTAACTTCAAAGCATCAGATGATCGGACTTTTCCTTTGTACTGTCTTCATCTGGATAGAGAGGTTATTCATTTCTTAAGAGTTCTCTTTAATCCTTCTGTCTTTCTTTATCTGTTCTGTAACAGCTTTAAAATGAGTCCATCACAGAAGCCATTTTGTAATGGACAACCTGTCTCCCAGTGACATTATCTGGAATGGCAAACTAATTCATCTGCATCTCTGCACCACAGAAGTCAGTTTCTTCCCTTCCTATCAATCCGTAACTCATTCTTACTCAACCAATCTTCAGACTTTATGGCAAAGCACACATTCTGTTATCCAACATTGGCTCTTCAGCTTACTGTTAACTTCATGCAAATATCTACTTACCTGGCACACACCATCTCCTGGACCAGCCACTCCCAATAGGCAGTCCACAGGCTTTGCTGGTGTAGAGTACTTAATCTCTGTTGTGGCCTTGATGACTCCATCACAGTAGACATGGACATTGACAGACCCAGCAGGAAAATCTATAAATGCAAACAAGAGTTAGGAGCTGAGTATATAATGCATGTACCATATTATTACATCTTTCACAGAATATGAAGAAATCTTTAAGAATTCATAACAACTTTACTAACTTCTGGTACTAAATGTTTTCTTTGTATCCTGAGTATCCACAGAATATAGTGTACAATTTTAGACTTAATGAAATAAAACCTTACAGAATCTGAACACATGTTAAAATTATGGTAAAAGCAAAGTCCTAAATATTTTCTCCCTACTACTAGCCCTCTTTTTTGGAATAATCTGTAATTGTCTTTACATAATCCTTTAGAATTTAAGACCGTGTAATCATTCATTAAAAGTTGTGTATCTGTTAATAATCTCATGAAGAAAATTCTTAATTATAGACAAATTTTCAAAATTGTACTTGGAAAAAGAAAGAGTAGAATCGATTGAAATTATAGAACTTTTATGCAATGAGTTACAGTAAAAAACTCTTGGGAAGGTAAGGTTTAATATCCTGCTATTTAAGTACTATTTATACTATACATTTATCAAAACCCTTTCTGCGGACAAGTTCTTAAAGTGACTGATATACTGCCTGGTGAATTCTGCATTAACACACCAACAGAGTTAAAGTTTCCTAAGAATGTTGGGCTCACTATGAAAGAGTATCAATAAATAATCATTTCAGTAAAAAAAAAAGTTATTTTGCTTTATTGTAACAAAAGTAAACAAAATTGAGCCTTTAAATCTATTTACAGAACATACTCTAAAGACTTTGACTATCTATCGTGGAGATATTTCTCAAAATGGTCCTGGAAAATTGTCACCCAGACAGCTGGGGTTTGGAATATAAGTCATTAAGCACAAGACCAAAAAATCTTATTCCTGATGAGGTTTTGAATATTTAAGAGTTTCTGAAATTAAGCATTAATTTTACTTTATCTCCTAAAGAGATTAAAGGGCCTCTTACAATTTTGTTTAGAGAGATTTAAAGCCAACAAAAGCAATCTTAAGCATAACTAGATCAAGAGGCTGCAATGTTCTCTTCCCATATTGTTTGACTGAACATCTTACTTGTATTATAAAGAAACTATGTGTATGAAAGTTCTCTCTTCCCAAAGTAAGTATCCATCCAGTAGATAATGTAAGAGAAACTCCAATGAAACCTGAAAGTGATAACATATATCTCATCAGCTAAAGTTGTACACATAATGGTAAAGAGGGTGCTGGAGTTACTGAAGTCAAATGAAATCAATTTTGGTAGATTTCAGGAAGATGATTTTCAAAGAAGATACTGATTTTGTCAGTCAGAAAGAAAGATTAGAGTTTACAATGGGGTGTTAACCTTCTGAAAGAAAGTCAAATGACGAATCATGAGAAATACATGATAAGAAGATTTGCTTGGTAGTTCTTTGATATAGGATACTTAAAATATTCTAATTTTTTTAAACTCTAACATGAAAGCAAATGAACTGATTTATTCTTGGCATCTTGTGCCATTAGTTCTATTGATTTTAGAATAATCTTCCCAAGAGACAGATGTCCTTTGAAGTACTGTCTTTGCTGTATACATTTTCTTATCTATTGAATGTCAGTTATTAAATCAAGACCTTGAAGGATTCCTTATGGATTCATCTGATTGGGAGACCTTCCTTAAATATGTATTATTGAAGTGGCCTTTCATCAATAGCATCCTGTACTACCTGAGCATTATTTTACTTTGACTCTGGTCGTTATGATATCTACATTTTATAGCTCTTTAATAAAAATACAGCTAATTAATTTAAGGACTCAGAAGAGAAAGAAAGTGAATCCTGCTGTTTACTATCAGCAGAACATTTAACACTTGAAGTACACACAAATACAGGTCATAGATCACCAAATCAAGTACTGGAGTCAGCTGTGAAGGGGAAAAAAAGGTTTATAATGGAAGAAGATGGAACTTCTTGTCATATCAAACATAGATAGACAAGAAAGTAAACTTACAGAGGAACAAAGGAATTTAAAGCAATTCCTTTAAAAGAGGAATTTTATTCAAATTTCACAGCTTGTCATTCAATAGTCTTTGTCAACCTGCACTGTCTCTTTGATTTAAGTGGTCTGTCCTTCCAGATAAGGGACTGAAGCAATCTATGGAAAATATAAGGTATTTTTGAATAGGCAGAACTACATTCACTTGTTCTAGAAAAATACATACTGCACAAATCCAACAATTAAAGAGATTTTCTTTCTGTATTTCCACGGCCTGAGAAGCTATGTTCCTTTATGAACCAATTTTTGCTCTGTATCACATGGTAAACCTTAAATGAACCTACCTAATGTTTCTGTGGGAACTGAAATCAATATGGCTTTCTTTTGATTAGAATATTACTGTTAAATAAATATTGGTGGCTTTAAAACTTTGGCCATGCCTTAATATTGGTATACTTAATATATGTTAAAATTGTCCTCCTCAATTATGATGTTTAGAAAAATTTCTTATCAATTGTTGTTATTTTTCTAAGCAGGTTCAGCATAATATCTGGCACATCCTAAAGTATTTTTCATGCTCTTTTAATTAAATACGAAGTTATAATTTACATTAACCAGAACAGTTTCTTAATTAATAAAGAGATTCTATATCTTTGTAGATATTTTTACTTTCCTCCCAACTTTTAATTGGTTGTCCCCCTGCTGTGTAAAATATTTTTCCGGCTCTCCTGCAGGTACCAGAGGAATACCTCTTCCTTCTACGTAAACATTAGTTAATATTTCTAGTTTAAAGACTTCACATGTATTTTTATAACTTTTGGCATAAGTTGGGATTAATTCAAGTTCCTGGGTAACTTCAAATTTCTTTAGCACAAGACAGTTCCTGCCAGTGACAAACCTGTGGATTCCATTAGAAAGGTGTGTTTTTTTTTTTTTTAATGAAGTAATTGTAAGTGTATGAAGTTATATAGCTGAAAGGAAAAAGAACACAAAATTAGAGGATATTTTCTCAGATAAAAATGTGGAAGTATGTCAGAAGGGAGAGATGTCATTTAGAAAAAGAGCATTTAAGATTTCTTCACTGGTTAGCATAATTGTACTTTAACATAATTTTGGTTTTTTCTGAACTGCTACCAGGTTAGAGGGAAATATACATTTAAAAGAACATTAATAAGGCAAAGAGTTGGGCTGGGTAGTGAAAAATCTGAGAGTTCTGAGCACTGTAGGTAGGTCTTAGAGTATGTGACATGCTTTAATGTTGAGAGTATTATCTGTCTGTCTGTCTGTCTCTCTCTCTCTCTCTCACACACACTTAAAATGACTAAGAAGAAGTATCCAAAAAAAAAAATGAAGGGTTTGAAGGGGTACCATTCTTTAAAAGAGAATGCTAGTTGCCTATCTCAAAGGCTATTCTCTTCCTATATTAGAAAGAGAATCCTGATTTTTTTTTTTTCTTGCTGGGCACATTGCTATCCAACTAAAAAGACTAGATTTTCTGCTTTTCCTTCCAGCTAGATGTGACTTTGGGATTAAGTTCTGAATAATGTGATATCAGCAAATATGTCTTATGGAAACCTTTCCAGTTTAATGAGGCCTTCTTCTTTATCCCAGTGTTGTGTTGATAAACTGACTCTTCAAAAAGAAAATAAAAAAGACTTGGTTTATAGTTTTTATCAATGTGTGTGGTATACATACTCCACCATGGCTGATTTCAAGTAACCAAAGTGTGATGGACTGAATTGTGTCCCCCAAACCCTCAATTTGTATGCTGAAGCCCTAATCTCCAAGGTATTGAGAAATAAGGCCTTTAATAAGATAATTAAGGTTAAATTGAGGTCATAAGGGCATGGCCCTTATCTGATAGGGCTGGTATCCTTATAAAAAAAAAAAAAAAAAAGGAAGAGACACCAGAAGTGCAGATGCACAGAGAAAAGGCCATTTGAGGACAGAGCAAGAAGGTAGTCAACTACAAGCTAAGAAAAGAGGTCTTGCCAGAAACCCAAATTCTTGCCCGTTGATCTTAGGTTTCCAGCCTCCAGAAATGTGAAAAAATAAATTTCTGTTGTTTAAGCCACCCAGTTTGTGGTATTTTGTCATGGCAGCCAGAGAAGACTATTACACAAGATAATACCACTGAATATGAAATACAGAAGGGATGCACAGAATTGGCTTTCAGAATCCAATATGAGATGGTGCTAGCATTCACCAGATTGCTCAAAACTTGAGAGTGATAGTAAGGATCTTAGAAGCCATCTTGCTTCTGATGATTATGGCCATACTGTAGGGACTATGGGATGTTGACCAGAAATAAGTGTGCTCTGGGACAATACTGTAAAGCCACACCAGCGCTCAATACCAGCCATATTCAGTACCTGAAGCTCTGGGTATCACATAAGAGAATATTTATGGAGAACAAACCACATTTTGAGCCACATAACTAATTAAATCATGAGCCAGGTGATCAGAAATCAAATCACATGAGCCATTTTTCTACACTGGAGAGAGACTGAAAAGATGGAGACAGTCTCCTGGAACCTGTTGCATCAGTGATAGGGAAGCATCCCTGGTACGTTTCCATTTTACTTTTAGATCCTTCCATCTTAACTTGGTATTCAAAGAAGTACAGAAAATAATTTTATCTTATTTTATTTTATTTTTCTTGTTTGTGTCCCATCGGTTTATGAGCAGAAAATAATTTTAGAGACTTAAATCTGTATAGACTATTATTAGATGGTATGGGATACTGATTGAGATCTTTCCTGCTCCCTGGAAATGACCAATGAGTTCAGGGATTATATATATGAGATGATACAGAATTCTCCCTTGAACGTGATTCCTCAAGGATGAAGAGGGCACAAACAAATCTGGTGGCTTTCATATCAAGGGATATAAACTGGGGACCAGGAAAAAAGAGGGTATAATATGAGGAGTACAGTACTTAGAGAGAAGGACGGTTCCCTAAAATTCTTAAATGTTTTATCATATTCTATCCAGAAGCCGAGGGTGAGTTTGTCCAGAAAAGCCACTCCTTGTGTTTAAGGGAATTACTAGAGGGAGAGATTAACACTTTATTCCTCCATTGGACATCTTTTTAAGTGTTTGTTGTCTTACATCTCATCTCCCTTATTTCCAAATGTACTATAAGTGAGTATTTGGAATGTAATTACAAAACTTATTTTATCAACAAGGAAGCTGAGGCACAACTGAGACTTCTCTAAAGTTAACCAGTAAATGGCTCAATACAAAATAAAAGAGCTCCTTGGTCACTAAAGATTCTAGCCAAATCATTGGCCTTTAAGTGCATGCTGGACACTTTCTCTTATTCCATAACTGGTGTAGAGAAAAAAAGAACTCTATTGTACTGTGCTGTTCAGTGCTGTTCAATGGAACTTTCTAAGAGAATAGATATGTTCTAATGAAACACTTGAAATATGGGTAGTGCCACTGATGGAATTAATTCATTTTAAATTTCATTTAATTGTAATAAAGCTTAAATAATTAGTTGTGACTAGTGGCTACCATATTGGCCAGTGCAGCTACAAAGCATAGTTTCTCCACCTGCGTTTGTGACCCTCTAACGCATCATGACACCAGTTTAGTTGGTTTTGACTAGCACTGAAGAAAATGAAAACAAATAGAATTTCTATCTCTCTCTTTACATTACCCATATGTTCTTGCATGTTGTTCACTTTTCCATTATAATCCTTAACATATTAATCACAGTTATTTGAAATTGTCTGATAACTCCAACATTAATGTCACATCCAAACCTGGCCTAATATTTGCTTTATTTCTTTTGACTAAGGGGTTTTTTTTCTTACTTTTTGGAATGTCTTGTAATTTCTGGTTGAAACCCAGACATCGTGTGTTGGGTATAAGAATTGAGGAGGTAAGCATGCAGTGAAGAATTCATAAGAATCTGGATGGGAGGTGGGTTGTATTTCATGTCTGTTATAGCTGTAGATTCCAGAGGCTTCAAATTCCTCTATTCTCCTGGTTTCTGTCTGTCTTTCTTCTTGACTTTGTATTTCCCTAACTACTCCTCCTCAGAAAGATCCTGCATCTTGCAGTACTTCCAACAGTAACCTTCTGCCATTATAATGAAACCCTTTTATGGTGGTGGTCAGGTTGGGGGCAGGCAGAAGCATTCTGATCTTGTGATTAAGTCTTGGTCTTCAAGTGGGCTGGTGTCCCTAGGCTGTGATCTTCACAAGTAGGTGGTAGAGCTTTCCTCCCCCACCCTAAGTGAGTCAGAAAAGCTAGAAGGGGATTCAATGGATAGATGCCCTTCCTCAGTGAGGATAAGGCATTGGTAACATGGTTTCCCCTGGAAAATAGGCCTTTGTTATGGAGAATATATTGGGAGTGGTTCACCATGATTCTTCTTCTTCTGAACTGGAAGAGCCTCTCAAAGATCTTCCCCAGATCTTTACTATGTGAACCTGGTGGAGTTCCTGGAAGTGAATCCCACAAAATTATGGGTGCCTCCTAAGACTGTAGCCCCCAGGAGTTTCTTACTCTGGAGCCAGTCCACACTTCACCCCCAGCAATTCATCAAAATTACCATGTAATTGTGCCCACCAGTTTACAGCTCCAGTGACTTTTGTTCCAGCCAAGCAGATCTTGAATGTCACTGTCTTGATTTACCTTCTCCTTCAGGTTTTGGGATAGTAGTTTGCCCTGCAACCTTAGTTCTCTGATGAGGTCAAGAAAAGTCACTGATTTTCTGTTGGTTTAGCTCTATCTTATGGTAGGAAAAGAAGAGACAATTTCCAAGTTCTTCATATATCAGGGCTGAAACCATTAATCTAATGACCACTTTTAAAACCTCTGTTTTAAGTATATATTTCTGAATAGGTACTGAGTTATGATGTAAAATGTAGTTCTGGCTAAGGTTAAAAAATGTTAAGAAACAGTGGCATGAGACAGAAAAAAATAAGACTCTGGGGCCATTTCTGCTAAGGTATATCTCATCCTTATTTCCATATACATTCATGGACCCATCCTATGTATTGCTACATTTGGTAAAAGAAAAAAAAATCCCATTAATTTATAGAATATACTAATTGAAAATAAGAATTGGACAGGATAAATAGCATAACTGGTAAATAGTGGTTTATTTGTTTTTTACTACAAATTTGCTGTTCAACTACATGGGACAGTAAAATGGCCTGGTATATCTTAGAAAATATAGACTATTAGGTTCCTACTTTTCTGAAAAACATTTGAATTTTGACATAATTTATTCTTTGCACTACTCTTAGTGCTAGGTAAACTGAATATGTAATCTTAATATGAATAATTTTATATGCCACTTTGATTTACTATTTGGGAAATATTATCTAAGTACTTCTTAATTTGCAATATTGATTCTTTTGTAGCGATTTTAGTCTAACTAGATTTAAACTCAAAAACTAATTAGTTAGAAATTAATGTTAATTAAATCATTTAAAAATGTGGCATAAAGAAGTAGGGGGCTTTGGAAGAGAAAGAGAAGAGACAAAGTTCTTCCTCATCTACTTCTGCACACCTTCATCCATGACAGGAACCAGTGTCTGAAACGTTTATAAACACTTGGTGTATAGTCCCTCCTTTCTATAATTCAACTCTGACCCAGGCCATGCAAGCAAACCCATAGAGGAGACACACGCTTTGCATAGCGCAGTAGAAAAGGTGTGTAAGTGCTCTATAAAAGGGCTTCATAATAGCTACATTCCAAAAGAAAAAGAAAAGTTCAGGATGCATTGACACAGTACTTAATCTTAAATATTTTGACTACATTTCCAGATTCATAACAAGACTGTATACGTTTATACTTTAAATATTTTATAAAGTTTATATTTATGAAGTTTTATTAGATAATTTTATTCTCTGGCTGTAAAAAGATATCATAAATTCAAAAACCAAGTAGTCCTCCATTTGTATTAAAAATATTCAGAAATTAATCTATTAAACTTTGATTTAGGTACAATTGTGGTGGCAGGTGTGGCTATTCCATCTGGAATTTTAAATCTGATACGGCTTATCATAGTGCAAGCAAAGATGGATAATAAAATGGTTAACCTCATAAATTAAATAAGGAAAAGATGGAGGACTGTATATAGAAATGGTACTCTGATGATAAATAGTGAAAAAGAATCACATCTTCCAAAACAACCAAAAATATACTCAAGGACATGCCTCCCTCTTCCCAAAAAAAGTAAAAAGTTCATGAATGAAAGTCCAAAGGTTCATTAATCCTATTACAATAAAGCAAATTATTTTAGTTCCATATTTAATAGCTGATGTATATTATTAAAGTGCTCTCTGCTGACATATTTAAAAATATGTGATATTGCTGGTGGTCATTTCACCACATGGTACACAAGCTAATTTCGCATAATTTACACATTCATACTTTTGGGAATCCAGATTAATAATAACAACTTTGGGTATGTGAAAGCTAAACGCAGGAAACACCTGCAGAACAGTATTAGTTTCTGGAAGGAAGTGAAACCATTTATCATATTATTTATTGAAAGAAACTTAGGATGATGTCTTATATTTATTAGTGCATAAAAACATTTCTTACCTAAAGCTTCCATACACCAGACTGTCTTATTCCAACGGGTTGGCTGTGTTCTAACACATTTGCTATTTGATGTAAATTCAACCTCCACAGTATCACCAATGACTTCATCTCTTAAAATAATAAATATTTCACCAGGATTCTATAAGATAAAACATGTAGCCCAATGAGGACCTTGAAAAAGTCTACATTAACCAAAGAATCCACTATATTTAATAACGACAAAGTCTGCACAGGATAATTATGTCTTCTATCATGTCCTAGCTTTTCAACTATATTCAAAAATAAAATATGTAAATGTGATTCTCACCACATTTTAATTTTATCAACGTGGTGTCTACTGAATTCTCAATTTTTTTCCCCAACCCCATCTTTTGCAACTGAAGAAACAGTGAGGACACAGTTGCTTCCTTTTGCCCTTGACTCTTCCCTGTCTGGGAGGATCCCTGTCTCAGAGTAAGAAGCATCACCTACAGACCTCCAGGGAGCTGTCATTTGCTAACCAAAGCCTTTTTCCCCCTGAACCCTTTTACTTTGCCTTTCTAGAACTTGGTATGTTCATCTATAAATGACAGGACTGAATAGGTGTAGCTTTAAGATCTCTTAACATTTTAAATGTGAGTTTTCATGTCCGATGTTTTAAATATCCAATAGTTTTAAATCTTACCTAATAGGGATTCTCTGGTTACTCTTTATGTGTGATGAGTATCTGTGAAGGTTACTGAATTGACTAAAGGATTTAAATCTAAAAGTTTCAAGGTTTTATTAAGGTTGAAAAGCTAAATCTATGGACATAAACAAAAGGAGTTATTGAAAACCATTCTGGGGGAAAACTCTGGAAAAAAATAATTAAGGATAAAAAATTGACATTAATACAGAGAAAAAGAAGGACTAGATATTTGCTGAACATTTTTTTAATACTAGGAATTATTTTAAGCACTTTTTTAAAAATTTTATTTTATTTTTGAGAGAGAGATAGAGACAGCATGAGCAGGGGAGGGTCAGAGAGAGAGGGAGACACAGAATCTGAAGCAGGCTCCAGGCTCTGAGCTAGCTGTCAGCACAGAGCCCAACACAGGGCTCGAACCCACGAACTGTCAGATCATGACCTGAGCTGAAGTTGGACGCTTAACTGACTGAGCTACCCACGTGCCCCTTAAGCACTTTTAATATAAAGTTATTTCCTTTAATCCTAACCAAAACTTAAATACACACATACACACACTGAATCCAAAATGGAAGGCTGTTAGTTTTCTTTTAAGAACAAGGTAGCTAATACAGACAGTGACATTCTGAAGATTAACCAGAACTATCTAAATAAAAATCTGTACTCTCCTTTATGTTGTGCTGTTTAACCCTTCAGAATAACTAAAATGAAATATCATTTTTATGTTTATCTCAGGCATCACCTTCCAAATGCCTTCCTCAAAGTCAAACTAAATTTCAGTCCCTCACAAAACAAACAGAAACCTCATTTATATACTCTTATAAAATTGTGTTTACCCAAAAGTCATTAACTTCAAAGTTCTCTTATTTAAAAGTTATCTGTGTAAGCATAAATCACCTGCTGATAAAACTTACAACTTTAATGCTCTATACCAAAGGCTTTCTACAAATATATAAATATATTGATGTGGGATGCCTGGGTGGCTCAGTTGATGATGCGTCTGACTCTTCATTTTGGCTAAGTTCCAACCATGATCTCATGGTTCAAGAGTTCTAGCCCCACATCGGGCTCTGTGCTGACAGTGTGGAGCCTGCTTGGGATTCTCTCTCTCTCTCTCTCTCTCCCTTTTTGCCCTTCTCCCACTCATGCTCTATCCCTTAAAATAAATAAATAAACTTTTTAAAAAAATGTTGATGCCACAAAATTGGTTCAGCTGACATACTTCCACTTCAGCCATTTTTCCACCAGAGTCTGATGCTCCCAAATATGTGTCTGCGGGATATTTTCAACTAAATTTCTCCTTCTCAATTACACTGCAAATGGACAAACATGTCACCATTCCATGGGATACACATTCTTGGCCTCATACATCCCACAGGAATGCCTTCCCTTTGCCTCACCAAAGCACTGATTCATGTGACCCCCGAGGTCAGGAACCTGAGCTTCTCCCGTTCCTCTCCTCTGTCACCTCCTCTTCACGGGGCCTCCTGTCTAGCTCAGTTTTTTGGTTCCTTTGTCACTCACACCCCTCACCTTACTCCAAATCTTTCATGACTCCTTATTTACTTTGGCCCAGATCCCCAAGATCTCTGCATCAAAGTTCTTCAGAGCTCTCTTTCAAGTGTACGCTGTGTCTTCTTCAACTTTAAACTCTCCCCTTCCAAAGCTAGTTAGCCTCAGCATCTTCTCCCTATGTTCTATTCTCATTCTCATTCTAATGAGTGCTCACACTCATTCTCATTCATGAGTGCTCAAGGCCAGCCTGCTGCTTATGCATCAGATTCCCTCCTTAATAGAGGGCAAGACTCCACCTTTCAACCTTTTCCATAGAAAACTTCTAAACCAAAGACAAGCATCCTGACCACTGCAAATGAGGTACTTACATCTTCATTTGTACCCAAGGCCAGCTTCATGGGGATATGACCTGGCCTGTTGCACTGGCTCTGCCCTTAGAAGGCCTTGCACTTGCTTCAGTGTTCTGCTGTCACTGCCTGAAAGCGCTTACTAATTTGAACAAGGGCCCCTACACCTTCATTTTGCACCAGGCCTGTTTGTACCTAATGTCAGCGTGCCATTGCATTCCTACTCTTCCTCTGTCTCCCCACGCTTCTCCTCTGCAAGGAGAAGCAAGCTCTGACTCTAGGTTCACCAGCTCCATAAACCCTCCCTACAAATGCAGCCCACAGTAACTTCCAAAGGAATCAGGGAGCATTTCACATTCACACCCCTCATTCGACCTTCTTGAAGTCATGCCCTCTGCTCTTAATTAATTTTTCCTGTCTGTGTGCTGGCTTCCTGGCTAGACTTTCAATATCCTGAAGGTATTTTTATTTTTTCGTATCATTGTGGCACCTTGCAAAAACTGTGTACATAAGAGACAATCTGTACATATTTTTTAAATGAAGATGGAACAAGTCTGTCAAAATGTGACTTTTTAAAATTGAACAAGCCCAGCTCTATTCCTTTTACCCCTCAGGACTCCCAGCATCGTGTGTTTGCTACATCTCCATGGAGGAAGGGGCCTGCTCTAGGAGGGAAGGCCTGCATTGTCCGGCCTCGTCCTTAACTATTATGAACGTCTGAATTAAACATCTAATTATGTAGGTACATTTAATTCAGTGGAGAATATAGCAGGACGCTCAAACAAAGGATTGTAAATTTGGCCTTATCAGTTATAAAGCTGCTATTTTGCTTTCAATCTTTCTGATTCATCTGTTTATCCCTTCTTTGGTTCTGCACATTCAGGGACAGAAAGAATTATGATAATTATCACTTCCAAAGTCTCAAGTTTTGTGGCATTGGTCACAAAATCCTGAGCCTTAAACAAAGGGGCTAGGACTTGGTCTATAATAGAACATATAAAGTGTGAAGTTTCTGGGTCTGCTAGGGCTGGTGTCTTTAGGCTTTAGTGATATACGATGCATAGGCAACAAAAGATTTTTACCCTAGTGGATCAATATATCAACTTAACTGTAACTTTTTTTTACACAGACCAATGGTTCTTTTCATACATTCATGATTACTATAATAGGCACAAGTTTAAAGAGCGCAGTTGTAGGGGCTTTATTAAGCCAGGACTGTGCAGGTTCCGTAGCTGAACTCTATCTGACCCATGACAGCACAGCAAGGATAGGTTATGACAATGGTCCCAAATTTGGCTGTTAATTCTCACCTTCAGGGTCACCTGGGAAGTTTTTAAGGCTGCCAGTGTCCAGGCCATAAACCAAACCATTTATATATGAATCTCTGGGGGTAGGATTTAGGCATTATTTTTTTTGAAATCTCCCCTGTATGCAGCTTGGTTTGAGAGCCACTTGGCTAAAGGGTAAAGACATCTTTCAGTCACTGTGAAACCTTACCACCAAAATGGGTAGCACTTTACAATATAAGCATTTTCGGGATTGACACACACAATAGTCTTTTGCAGCTTTTCCTGTATTTTCAATGAAGTCACAGGATCAGGCTTTAAGTTATAGTTGATTACCAAGAACTAGTGTGTGATTTAGTTTGAGAAATAAGTGGGGAGTGCCGTTAGCTTCTGTATATTATTTTAAACCCTATCTTGGGCCAGGGAATGAATGCATAGGAGGTAATCTCTGAGATCCTTGTGGCTTTCTCATGGGCCCCTCAGAATCATACCCCTTCATATAATCTAAGGATTTCTCTATTTGTTGGCTACAAACTCAGGTCTGCACTGTGGGTTTGGACACTCACATTACAGTTGTAGCAACAGAGGTACGTCAAGGAACAGGTCAAATAAGATTCTTTTTTAGGGAATATGCCGTGTTCTAAGATTTGGATACAAAGGCACTTCAATGAAATTAATATAGATCCAAATGTTGATAAATGCCTTTCAAGTTATACTATAACTTAAAGGCCACTTAAAACACCTTTCAAGGTTATACTATAACTTGAAGAATTAAATTTCCTCATGAGATCAACAAGTGACTGGACTGGTTTTAAAACTGTTTCAGTCTTATGATCAGAAAAGCAGTGGTAGGAGAATAACATAAGAATTAAGAAATATCAGTTGATTATACTCAAGGAAGTAAGAGATTCTGGTGGGAGAAAAGCTGAGATTGCAGTAGACAGATTCTACCAAAAGGAAGGGAAAAATAGATTGAAGGCCTGTCTATACAGATAACACAAGATAAAGAAAATAAGCTCATTCCTGGGGCGCCTGGGTGGCTCAGTCAGTTAAGTGTCCGACTTCAACTCAGGTCATGATCTCACGGTTCGTGGGTTCGAGCCCTGCATCGGGCTCTGTGCTGGCAGCTAGCTCAGAGCCTGGAGCCTGTCTTTGGATTCTGTATCTCCCTCTCTCTGTATCCCCCTCCCCTGCTCATGCTGTCTCTGTCTGACTCTCAAAATAAATAAAAAAACATTAAAATTTTTTTAAAAAAGGAAATAAGCTCATGCCTAACTACTCTTTAGGATGGTGCTCGTGAAGGGGAAATAGTGGAGCCATTACTGACCCTGTGACTGGGGCTTGCAGAGATAAGTGAAGAGGCAGGAGGCGTCAGAGGGCAGGCGACAGTACTTTCCAAGAGAGTGCACTGAGGAAAATGTTTAGAGGCTCCTTCTTAAGGCTTCGGGTAAAATCCATAAAAAGAGGGAGAAGAGTCACTGCTTACAGGTTGTGCAGCCCGAAGAGGTGATTATAAAACACTGGCTGGATTGCAGGGAAGCCTCTGACAGGGAGCACTAATTCTTGATGCCATTATTAGCTGATTTGAAGACGATTTGTTACTGTAAGGGCCATAAATGTATCTCCTGTCCTTGGACATGATTTAACCTTGGCACTATTGACATTTTTGGGCCAGAGAAGTCATCGTTGTGGGGACCACCCTGTGTTTAACAGCATCCGTGACCTCTATCCATGAGATGCCAGTAGAAATCCCCCAGCTGTGACAACCAAAGCTGTCTGTAGGCTTTGCCCAATCCCTGTTGGGGGCACTTAAATAATAAAGTATCATACTGACCTCACATGGAATTTCAGCAGGAAGCACAATTGCCTGTGGTATGGTGTCTCGTGAAGTTTTTGATAATTCTTCAGTGTCCTGTCTCTTACTTATTTCCCTGGAATGTTCCACTTTTAGGTCCGTTGGAATATTAACCTCAAGGTAGTCATCAGAACCTAGAGAAAAGTGCATGAATGTGAACTACATCACAATTATAATATAGCCAAGGTCGTATTAATTCCTCCATTGTTTTAAAGACTAATTGCTAAACGATGAATTTGATTAATATATGGGATAACAGAACTGAGTTTAAAATAACTGAAGCAATGTTAATAAGTAAAATAACACTTCACAATTTAACTTAGTGACGGAACTAAACCAACTATATACGTCCACCTACTAATTTAAGGTTCCCCCCAAAATATCTAACCACCATTTAATATTTTTCTTAATATTAAATTAGCAAACCTGAAAAAGATGAAACTGTCTTTTCAATGACTGTAACTAAGGAAATTTATTTTATTTTATTTTATTTTTAATAGTTTATTGTCAAATTAGTTTCTACATAACACACAGTGCTCATCCCCAAAGTGCCCTCCTCCATGCCCATCCCCCCTCCCCCCCACATCCATCAGTCCTCAGTTTTTGTCAGCATTCAAGAGTCTCTCATGGTTTGCCTCTCTCCCTTTCCCCCACCATTTCCGCCCTTCTTCTCCCCCTTGTTCCTCCGTCAAGTTCCTCCTAATCCTCCTATACGTGCAAACATATGATATTTGTCCTTCTCTGCCTGACTTATTTCGCTCAGCATAACCCCCTCAAGGTCCATCCATGTTGCTACACATGGCCAGATTTCATTGTTTCTCATTGCCATGTAGTATTCCATGGTATAGATAAACCACATCTTCTTGATCCATTCATCTGTTGATGGACACTTAGGCTCTTTCCATGTTTTAGCTATTGTGGAGAGTGCTGCTATGAACATTGGGGTACATGTGCTCCTATGCCTCAGCATTTCTGTATCCCTTGGGTAAATTCCTAGCAGTGCTATTGCTGGGTCATAAGGGAGTTCTATTGTTAGTTTCCTGAGGAACCTCCACACTGTTAGGAAATTTATTTTAAATGAGAACAATTATTTATACTTTAAAAAGATTTCTAATTTTTAAAAACAAAAAGCGTGACTGGGAAACATCACTAAATAAACTAGAATTTCCACAACACTGGTTTACTAGTGAAATACTAGTGTTCATCCAAATGTTATGTTCTGTGAAAAGTGTGTTCTATCTTAAATAAGCTGGTATTCTTTGTGGCAGCATTACTAAGGACAGTGAAATATGTTAATGCGAGTTTTCAATCTCAAGGGGAAAGAATATTTGATTCCTTTTTGTTTTAACATTTTGTAATCTAGCATTTGGTCTCAATCATTAAAACATTTTCTCTACTGAATAAAAAAAATGCTGTGTTAAGAGTGAAGGTTAATTTTTTTTTTATTACTCAGTATTTCAAAGCCTCTCATTAGAGTACAGACCAGTGTGGCTGAAACCAAGTCTCTAACAACTAAATCACATCTGTAAACCCTTAAGGTAACCCCAAAAGTATCCCTGAATCCACCAAGAAGAGAACTGGTAAAAAAGAAACTAGCTCCTGACAGCTAGAAACTGCCCCAACACTGTGTAGAAACCTCGGTGTTGGCTGGAAGCTGGTCCAGTGTCCTCCCCGTGAAATAGACAGTTTCACAGAACATCAACATCAGACGCGGTCACTCTGACACTGGGGTGGATTAAGTCAGAGGTCAGACCACTGTGTCGTCACGTCTGAATCCAAGCAAAAGGATGAGCACGGCCAAAATCACAAGAATGACCAAACATCCCCAATCCCAGCTCCTGTCCGCAGCTATCACTTCTTTACCAATTTCAGCTTTCATCTCTTTTTCATTTCTCTCGGCCTCTAGAGGGTAACTACGCTTTCCAGTTTTCCTGGGATTTTCCTGGTGCAGGCACTGCCATGCTGTGTCCTAAGAACCCCTTCAGTCTCAGGCACACTGAAACAGCTGGTCACCTTGATTTTGATCAAAGTCACTGATATACCAAAACATAAAATTACAATTGCTTTTTGACAGCAAGCAAACTGTAGCAAAACTGCTTTCCTGAAACCTCCCTCAGATCACTTAGCAACAAGCTTAAATGCTACAGTAAGTCGTTTCTAATACTCTTCCTGAGATGGCCCGTGGTTCTCCATGGTGTGCCTTCTCTTCATTGCAACTGACAAAAAGACCAAAGAGTTCAAGTGCAGGTGTGTTCCTGGTGGTGTGTGGCTAAAGGACACTGATAGGATAGAAAGGAAGAAGAGTCAAAGGCAGTACAGATAGAAATAGCTAAAATTTGGTTATTTTATCTAAAAAAAGTGAAGTTGCCAGTTTCATATAGGTAATTCTGTCAGTAAAAACAGAATAACAAAAAGACATGCCCTCCAGAGAGCAACACCCCACACCACATCTAAGAAAGAGAGTGTGTGTGTAGTTTTGTTTTGTTTTCTTTTTTTTTTTTTGGTTTGTTATTTTGTTTTTGTTTGTTTGGTTGGTTTTTTTGGTGTTGTTTCGTCTTATGAAAGTTGCAGAATAAAACCAAAAAATTACCTGGGATTTCCAGATTTTTTTAAGTACTAGTCTTCCTTGAAATGAAAGGAAAAGTAACCTTTATTTCTTTAACAATTTCATAAGTGGTTTCATTTTCTCTTTCTTTCTCTCTCTCTGTCTCTGTCTCTCTCTCTCTCTCTCTCTCTCTCTCACACACACACACACACACACACACACACACACACACACATTCATACCCCAAAACAGTGAAAGGTTGTTTAGAACTGATTCAATCATTTTGTGAGTTGATGAAAAAGTCAGGAAACCATTTTATTTAACACACTTTAGAAGGAGGAGGTGTAAATTATTTTAGCGCAGCAACAACTAGATGTTTTCTGCTAATTCCTCTGGGGTATTAGGTTAAGAAGAGCTATTTTATTTACCCTGAGGACATAATCATGACTATACAAAAAGATTTATCTCCATGAACGTTCACAGAATCACTGTTTATAATGCAGAAAATTGGAAGCAGTCGAAACAATAAGGGACTAGATAAAAATCTGCACCGTGAAAAAGATACTGTCACCAATAAAAATTCTATCAGAGAATATTTACCGATAAGAAACAGGTTTATAATATAACTGAAAAATTTTTAAGTTATGAAATTATCAATGTAGTAGGTTCTTATTTTATTGGTAAAATAAAAAGTATAGGACGTTTGGTTTCAGGTTTCACATGTAAGGTGCTTTGGAAATCAACACTATTCCTAACAAAAAGCTGTACAGACTGAAAAAAACCACTCTTCTTTGATCCTTAAGAAAGGGGTGCACATTACACAAACTGCTGTCCCCCGAATTGGAGACATAGTCAGGGAAGTACAGGGAGTCTCAATTATAGAGTAAAGAGTTAGGAGTGCGGACCACTCCAGGAACCAGTGCCGGGGTAGGGAAACCACAACTGTAATCGATGAATTGCCTGATGCTCAGTGTGGACAAATCTGAGAGTTAAAAATTGCAAAGAATTCCAGCTGAAGGAGGCCCTCCACATTATTTTGAGATTTACCTCCAGGAGCTTGACTAGATTCCCACAGAAAATATTAGAGAAAATGTCCCTCCTTCACCTGGCAGGGGGAGGGGAAAAGAAACCATTTTGAAATACTCCATAGCGTTCTGTTCTAAGAAAGGGTTGTTCTCAGGGCAGACTGGTTAATGAGAGGCTAACCTACTGAGGAATTCTCAGCATCTAAGTGACGTGGGGAAGAGAAATACCCAATAGCAGCCCACTGTAGCCATCTTTACCCACATAAGGGGAGAAAAAAGACTAAGGGACTCCTGTGAAGTTCATGGTTCAGAACTATAGGTTCACTAAATGACTGAGACCTAATCTTAGGACTCTAGAAAGCTTCCTTTACCCCCCAAACCTCAGAACCACATTACCAAAAGCCTATTTATAGCAGTTCATTTTACCTAGTACATCATGTCTATCGAGAAGGCATATCAAAAGGCCAAAATCCAAATTTGATGAGACAGAGTACCGCAAGGATGTCAGAATCATTAGACTGGGAATTGAAAGCAGCTCTGATTAACTTGCTAAGAGTTCTGATGTATAAAGTAGACAGTATGCAAAACAGATGGGTGATGTAAGCAGAGTAATAGAACTTCTACAAAAGAATCAAAAAGATATGGTAGAGGTTAAAAATACTGTAACAGAAATGAAGACTGCCTTTGATGAGTTTATCGACTCAGTAGACTGAACATGATTGAGGAAAGAATCTTTGAGCTAGAGAATACATCAATAGAATCCTTGAAAACTGAAAAGCAAATAGGAAAACAAACAAACTAAACTAAAAAACAAAACAAAAGAGCAGAATATCCAAGGACAATGAGATAACTACAAAGGTGTAACATACATGTAACGGGAATACCAGAAGTAGAAGGAAAAAAAAAAGGAACAAAATAAGTATTTCAAAGAATAATGACTGAGAATTTCTCCAAACTAATGTTAGATACCAAATAAAAATGCATTTAAGGATATTGCCTTCAACCTGCAGAAAATTGGGTGTCTAGGTGGCTCAGTTGGTTAAGTGTCTGACTTCAGCTTAGGTCATAGTCTCATGGTTTTTGAGTTTGAGCCCTGCATCTGGCTCTGTGTTGACAGCTCAGAGCCTGGAGCCTGCTTCAGATTCTGTGTCTCCCTCTCTCTTTGCCCCTCCCCCACTCACTCTCTCTCTCTTTCTCTCTCTCTCAAAAATAAATAAATATTTTAAAAAATTCAAACTGTAGAAAATCAAAGATAAAGTCCTAAATTACCTAGGGAAAAAAAGCCTTACCCATAGAAAAACAAAAACAAGAATGATATTTGACTTCTCCTTAGAAGCTGTGTAAGCAAGAAGAGAGTAGAGTGAAATTTTTAAAGTGTAGAAGAAATAAACCACAAAAACAAAATTCTGCACCCTATGAAACTATCCTTTAAAAGTGAAAAAGAAATAAAGCCTCTCTTGGATAATCAAATATTGGGATAATCTGTTGTTAGTAATTCCTGCCACCTGCAAGAAAAGATAAAGGAGATTTTTAGAAAGAAGGAAATAATATAGGTCAGAATCTC